AGGAATTGAAATGGATTATAACTGTTTACCCTTCCCCTGATCCCCTGCTGCCCAGTACAAATGTCAAGAGAGTGTACAGTGCAGTGGAGGGGACCATGGACCTGGATCAGAGGGCTGGATTGTGAGTCCCACCTGTGTCTCATTCAGTGTGGCATCACAGGCGAGCCGTTGCTTCTTTCTTTCTTTTTTTTATTTTTTATTTATTTATGATAGTCAGAGAGAGAGAGAGAGAGAGAGAGAGAGAGAGAGAGGCAGAGACACAGGCAGAGGGAGAAGCAGGCTCCATGCACCAGGAGCCCGACGTGGGATTCGATCCCGGGTCTCCAGGATCGCGCCCTGGGCCAAAGGCAGGCGCCAAACCGCTGCGCCACCCAGGGATCCCCCCGTTGCTTCTTTCTGAGCCTCAGTGTCTTTCCCTGTGAGAAGGAGCCCCTCCCTCCCCTGAGGAGTGAGCCTGTAATTGTTATCTAGTGCTTCGTGGGGCCTGGACTCAGGGCCTGATGTTAGCTATCAGTAAGATGATAGAGCACAAATGAAGCATCCAGGCTTCTCTGTCCCATGTTGCAGGGACCCCTTAGTGGAGAATTCTGGGCTGAAGGCCCCCTCTGCTCCGCTAGCTCATCTCTCAGAGTCCTGACTGCCTGTGTGCCTCTCCTCAGGCCCAGTGGACAGCAGGGATTGGGCCCTGTTCCTCCAGGCCTTCCAGTCCCTGGCTAGGGGACAATGGGCTGGGTTCCTGAGTGTCCAAGGCCAGGATGGGTCCCTGGGTAGGATGTGGTGGGAAAGGCATTTGTGGTTCACATCCACAATACCAAGCAAAGCTGGAGGGAAAAACGGAGTGGGGCTCCATATGACATTTTCCCTGTTGAGACACTTAGAGAAGCCCTGTTAGTGTGGAAAGTGGGGAACTGGGCCCTCACGGGGAGAGGCAAGATGTGTTGCTCTAATAACACTGCCACCACTACCAGTAATAACCATATGCCAGCCCCATAACGAGTGTCTTATGTGTTATCTCCTTCAATCCTTTAAACAACTATGTGAAGTGATTTTTATTCCCTTTTATGGAAGAGGAAACAGGCTCAGAGACGTTGTCTCTTGTCCAAGGCAACTCAGAGGGGGAGCCGGGACTCAGACCCTTGCTCTCAAAGACCACAGCAAAGCTTCCTAGGGATGCCAGGGCCAAGTAACTGGCCCAGGAGATGGGGAGGTTGGTGGGCATGAGCCACCCTTACTGTTGTCTCCCCCATTGGCTCCCAGGGACTGGGACAGGAACCCTGCTGGTGTCTGCTGCATTTTCCCAGGGCAGCAGCAGGCTCAGGCATGTGGAGCTAGAGGACGACACAAGCCATCTCCAGGGCCTAGATTCGCTGGGCAGTGCCCCCTCCCGGGCGGATCTTCCAGCTGTGACTTCCCTGCCCCTTCTAGATGATTCTGGCAGCTGTACGAAGGGATGCCATGGCACCGAGGGAGGCCTACAGCCTGGCTGGGGCCATAAAGCTAGGGGAGGTAACTGGGTTCCTCTCAATGACTGGGCACTCTGGTGGTTGTGCACTTTGCCTCGATACCCCACTGTGCCTGCAGAAAAGTGCTGGGCACCAGCCTCTGACCCGCCTGTTTCTAATTCACAACTCTAAACCTGCGGCAGCCCTTTGGGGTGTCCAGCACCAAGCAAGGACCAGATCTGCTTTTCTCCTTCCTGGGGTTCATCATGTGTGGCCAGTGGAAGTCATGATCCCTTCAAGGTCACATTCCTCTCCCTTCCTGCCATGTTGCCCATGGTGCATGGCAGGCGGCAGCCCAGTGCAGAAGGCAGAGTGGGCACTGCCCGGGCTGGAACCCACTCTATCACTTCCCGCTGGGGACCTCCAGCAAGTGACCTGGCCTCATCAGGGAAAGGCGATGGTGGATCTCTTCCTCCTCGTGTCACTGTGCAGGTAAAAGTGTTGACCCATGAGGAGGATACACTCAGCACTGGGCCCTGGACCCTGAACCGGCTCCAGAGATGATAGCGCTCAAGACAGAGACAGAGCCCCGCCTCTGCGGAACAGACTGGTTTGAGCACCCTGTTCCAGGCAGACCACTCCTTTCCCCTGTTCTTTTTCTTCAAAAGCACTCAGCCCAGTTTGTAATTATACACGTGTTTGTTTACTTGTCCATGAGAGCAGGAACTGTTTTCCAGCACTCGATCCTGAGCACCAAGGGCAGGAACACAGTAAATGTTGTGTGAATGAATGACACCCCCTTCCCAATTTTCTTCAGGTAGATGAGGACCAGGACTTTTTACCTTTTTTTTTTTTTTTTTTTTTTTTTTTTTTGAGGACTGGGCTTTCAGAGCCCCATATATTCCTCAGGCTTCCTTCGGAGATGATCCTGTAGCTGGTACAGCTGGGAAGTGCTGGATACTGCTATCTGCAGCCCCAGAAAGCTGGGTCAGAAGAGCTGGGTGGAGCCCAAGATAGGGTCTTACACTGCCCTTGGTGGGTGATCGGGTCATTCTGGGACTGCTTGTTCCCCTGCCACCCATATCTGCAGCTGTCTGGTTTGTGGCCCCAAAGCCACACTGGAGGCTCCACCAGAGCCCCTTATTGGCCACAGTCACCTGAGGCTGGGCCTGACTTTCAGGAGAGGCCTCTCTGCCTCTGTTTTTCCTCGGGTGCCATCTCCTAGGTCTCTCCTGCCTTTTGCCCTCCACTGAGACCAGGGCCCCCCTGGCCTTAGCAGATGTGTGAGGCTAGGGGAGGCACTCTGAGTCCAGATGTGATTGTGTTTATGTTTCCAGAGAGTAAGGGGTCGGAGCTCTGGACTGGAGCTGTTGGGGGGAGGGGTGGTCTGGCTCCAGCCCCCTGCCCCAGCCTTCCCTCCTCCCTCCTCTGGCCTGCCTCAAACCCTACACTATAAGTCAGTCCTACAGCATTAGGTTGGGTCGTTCTCCGGGAAGGACGCTTCCTCACTCATCTAAATGTGGGAAGACCGTGGAAAGATGCTTTGGAATCTAAAGATGGTTGACTCCCTGTGACTTTGGCCCTGTTGCAAAGCATGGTGAAGTCTCAGTTCCATCATCTATATAATAGGGACAACACTCCTGACCTCAGAGGCAGTGTTGACCTGGTTTGAGAATGCGGGCACAGGGCCCCTCCAGCTATTAGCTCATGATTAAGCCTATGGTTGTGCCCTACTTCCGACTAGGGCTAGCCTGGGTCCAGCTCCAGGGCAGTGCCAATCCCAGTCACAAGGTGATTCTGCAGCCGAATACCAAACCCCTCCTTCCTCCCCCGCTGCAGCTGCAAACATTTTGTTTTGCCATTGGAAGTGACTTACTTAAGGGAAGCAGAATTTTACAGGCAGTTTAAAGGCTGGTCTTGTTCAGTAGTTTCCAAAGCCTGGGGAGGGTGGAAGCACCATCAGCCTCCTTCCGCTAAGTTGGGGTGGAAGGGAAGTGAGACATTAATTCTGTGCAATGATCACTTTCTCCAGCACAGCATTGCTGGAGGCCCCAGAGTGGGATTTCTAGGAGAAAAGGCTGAGGGAGGCCCTGACTAGACACTGGGGGATCCTGGACACTCCGTCACAGCTAGGGCAGGGCCCACAGGGGAAAACGCAACCTCAGCACTTAAAGGAGCTCTCAGCGGCCCTCACCGCAACTGTCTGGGCGGTCAAGGGCCACAAAGCACCCTGAGGGCTTCGGGGTGCCGCCAACACAGCTGGGGAAGAAAGTCTGCAGTGTCCGTGGGGGTGCTGGCTAGGGCTGAGCGGTGCATCCGCCTGAGCCGGCGCGCAGAGGGAGCTCGGAGCAGGGCCCTGGTGGAGGCTGGCTGAGCAGGGCAGGAGTTGCAGTGGTTAGAGAGAGCACCTCGGACTCCCCCAGGAGGCGGCCGCAGGGCTCCTCTCCCCTACCCACGGGCCGCGGTGGCGCATTCCCTTTCTACCCGCCTCCCTCCTCAGTTCAATGAAGCAGTCGGGCTCGGCAGTGGTTAGCACGCTTGTACTATGGTTTTAATAGACGTACATGGACAAGTCGATATAGACAGATTTATAATTCTATACAGTCAGTCCGACATACACAGGGACGCTGTAAACAGGGGCGCGGGCCGGAGAGCGGGTGTGCAAAGTGGGCGCGGCGCGGTGGGGAGGGGGTGTCCCGGCCGCGCCCCGAGCTCTCCCGGCTCGACTCTTGCACGGCGGGCGGTGAGCAGGGGGCTCTGCGCCCGGCCGAGGGGGCCGCCTCCCAGCCCGAGAGCGGAGCGGAGGGTCCGGGCCTGCGGCGAAGCTCGGCGGGGCGCGGGGCGGGGGGCGGGGGCGCTAGGAGCCGAGCCCACCCCATTCGCCCGCCACCTCCTCGGCACCGCCAGCTGGGGCTCCGTAGGCCTCCACGGGACTCCGGTGCTCGCGCTGCCGAGGGCTCCGGGCGGCGCGCCGTGGCCGCGCGTGCCCTCCGCAGCGAGTCCCCGACCCCAGCTGCGCACCTCCTCCCCGACCCAGCGCCCGCTCCAACTCGGATCCGAATCGAGCTATAAGGTACGCTCGGCCGGGCCCAGCTTGGAGGGGGCGCCCCGGTTCCGCCGGGGCGGGGGCCGGCCTGCCCGGGCTCCGCACGTCCAGTTCGCAGGCGCGGCCGCGCGCTCCGGGGCCAGCGCGGCGGGAACGCGGGCTGCCAGGGCGTCCTCCCCGGACCGCCGGCCTCCCGCGCCGCGTCCCCTCCGCGCAACCGCCCGCCGGGCCCGAGGGAGCGAACACGCACACCACCCGCGCCATCCCGAGGGAAATTGCAACTCATCCGTTTTTTTTTTTGTTTGTTTTTGTTTTTTTTGTTTTTTTGTTTTTTGTTTTTTTCCGCAGCACTTTTCTCCGACGTCTTTTTGTTTCGTCCCGTTTGGGAGGGCAGAGTGGGGTCCGGAAAAGCAAACACACAACCAGCCCGGAGGTGGGGAGGTGGGGAGGAGAGGGCGGCGCGGGGGGCGCGGGGGGCGCGGGGGGCGCGGGCGCGGCTGCAGGTCCTCCGCGCCGCCCCGCCCGGGCGCCGAGCCGGCCGCGGAGCCCGCGGGGCCTGGCGGGGCGGTCAGCTGTTGTACTGGCACGCGTTGAGGCCCGAGGCCGGGCCCTGCAGGCCGCCGTAGCCGAACGACGAGTGCTGCTTGGACTTGAGCCGCAGGCTGGCCAGGCTCGAGTTGCACGTGTCCCGGTAGACGCTGTAGGGCGAGGCGGGCGTGCCGTAGGGGCAGGCGCCCGGCGACATGGCCGAGTTGAGCGAGGAGCCGGTGAGGTTGTTGATGTTGTTGAGGCCCGAGTTGGGCATGCCGGGCACGGCGCCCGGGCCCATGCTCGACGGCATGGTCATGGAGGAGATGGAGCTGGGCGCCGAGAACATGGACTGCGACGACAGCGGGCTCATGGAGTTGAAGAAGGTGAAGCTCTTGGTGGAGAGCGGCGCCGGCGCCAAGCTCTTGGCGGCCCAGTTGTTGTAGGAGTAGCCGGCGGCGTACACGTCCTCGTAGGGCTGCACCAGGCCGCTGAACTGCGGCACGTAGCCGCCCTTGCACAGGTCCAGCTGCTGGTTGCGCTCCCGCTTCCGCCACTTGGCTCGCCGGTTCTTGAACCAGACCTGGGGGGAGGGTGCAGGAGAAAGGTCAGGGCTGCCGAGGGCGGGAAGGTCCCGCCACCCCCCACCCCCACCCCCACCCCCTCCACCCCCAGCCCTCCGCCGCTGCCTTCTCTCCGAATTTCGAATTTCGTCTCTTTTCTTCGTGATTTCCGCCCCTGCCGCTGCGCTCCTGTTAAGGGTTCATTTCCTGTACCCAGGTCCCCAGAAAAGTTTTCCTCTATCCCCTTTTCTGATCTATATCCTCTCCCCCGAGTTAAATCTTATGTCTTCTCCTAATACGGATCGATCCTCTTTTATTTTAGCAAATATTCGTTTGCTTTCTTCCGTCTCCCGCCTTCTCCCCTAAAGGGATCCCGGTCTATCTCCTAAATATTCCATTCTTCTTCTTCTCCCTCTAATACAAAAGGTATTTTTCTTCCCTGAAATACAGGCTCTCCTGACTCCTTTCATTCTTCATCTACCTTTTCATTCCTCGAATAGTCTGTACCCATCTTAATTGGGAATCTTTGATATTCTCATTTTTGCCCCAGATGTTTATTTTCTTTTGGTCCACCCCGCTATCTGAACTGCTTTCTTTTCCCTCCAGTCCCCTTTCTCCGTTATCCCTCACTTTTGATCCTTTTGATTCTTCCCCAAATATTTAGTTTTCCCCGTCTTTCCAAATATCTGACCGTCACCGTTTCTCTTAAATAGGTAATTCTTTATTTTTCTCAAATATTTGATCCTTTCACCCTCCCTTATTTAATTTCTTTCCTGCCGCCTCCATATATGCCAAATACGTTTCTCTGCAAATATTTAATTTCCTTTCAGTTCTTAGTAGTTTCTCTCTAATCCCCCCTCCGCTTTCTCCCACAAAATTTAGTAAGAACCTGTTCTTTGCCCACTCCTGGTCCCTGCCCATCCTCCCATTCTCATACTGTGTGCCCTCTATCTTCCGTGGCCCTCCTCCTGCACTGGGCTGAGTTTCCTGAGCTAGCCTGCCAGACCCCTGCATCTCAGCCTTTACCAATCCTCCCCGCACTGAGATTGCCTGATTCCACCCCCACACCACCCCTACCACCATAAACCCGGGCAGGATTAGTGAGTACAGGATTACTGAGTGCTGTCTTCACTCGTGTCCCACTGGGCTGGCCAGCCTGATGGGAGGGGGCAAGAACTGGGGTTATAGCAGGGAGTCAGTAGGCCAGGTAGCACTTTGGGCTGGCTTGGGACGTCCTCCCAGTTATCTGATTAAATATTTGCGCACTCAGAGAAGAAATGATACTCTTGTGGCTCTGGCAAGAGAACCTCTATTCTCCTGCTTTTACTGGAAACCAAAAAGAGCAAGGAGAGGGAGGGTGCAGTCTGGTCACGGGTCAGAGATCTTACATCTCCAAAGGGACTGGACCTGAGGGTTACTCTTCCACCAGAGCTGCTCCTCCTTCACCTGACCCCAGCCCTACAGGAAAGGGCAACAGGGAAAGGGTCCAGCTACTCACTGGCTGACTGGCTGGAGACCAGTCAGGTGGGGACTGTGCTGAGCTTCTGCAGAAGCAGGCTATGATTGGGACCACTGCCCCAGGAGGTTCTGAGACCTGCAAGCCTAGGTACCCTTCAGGCCTCTGCCAGGTTGCCAGGCAAGACCTGCCTTTCCCTTTCGTTTTTGGGGGAAGGCGGGCCGCAGCTCCGAGGGCCCCCTTGGCAGGGAATCCTCCGTGCAGTCTAGGGTGGTAACATTCGCATGGGGTCTGGGCCCTGCAGGGCAGGGGAAATTCCCCTGGGGCCACGGATCTTGGGGTGAGGCTGCAGTAGAGCCTGAGGGTCACTAGGATAGGCCAGGCGGCAGCGGCCGAAGGCTCTAACCACCAAAGGGCACAGCAGGAGCCGCCGGAACACCCGGGCCTAAAGCTGAATCCTCCTCTCCGGTGGAGAGTGGTGGGACGGAGACAAAGTCTGAGCGCCGACAAAGTCTAAAGCTTTTGGAGCGCTGCGGCAGAGCCGGCCAGGAGCGGTCCGCACGGGTCCCCTTGGGCGCGCACGCTGGGCTCACCCTCACGCGCGGCTCCGTGAGGTTGGTCCACACAGCGATCTCCTCCCGCATGCTCATGTCGGGGTAGCGGTTCCTCTGGAACGTGGCCTCCAGCTCTTGCAACTGCTGGCTTGTGAAGTGCGTGCGTTGCCGCCGTTGCTTCTTTTTCTTGGCGGGGTCCTCCGCGCCACCGCAGCCTGCGCCTCCCGCACCGCTGTCCTCCGGCCCCTTGACTTCCCCGCCGCGCTCCTTCTCTGAATCGGGCAGGACAGGCTCTAGTCACCTTGGGTTTATGCCCTTTTGCACCCCGTCCCGGCTCCACCGAAGCGCCAGCCATCAGCGCTGGCGGCCCTTCCTCCCGCCAGGAGCCCTAGCATTGTTCCCGCTGGAAAGAGCCTGTCGGGTGCCTGATCCTCACTAGTCACCTTTGGTCGCACGCCCCAAAGAGCCAGGGAACCCGAGGCTGGGGCCTAGGTTCCCCACTGGGCAGGGCCTGCCCTTGCAGCTCGGCTCAGGCTCAAGCCCTACTGCCTATGTCGCCCGCAAATGTATGAAATTTTGAGGGCTTTTAGGCATTTAAATCTGGGGGTGTCTCTGCTCTTCTGAACTAATATCAAATCTGGCTAGCCTGAAGCCAGTGAGTCGGTGGAGCAGGAGCCAGGCGGTAACCTGCAGCCCCTCTACTTTCTTCTCCCCAGGGCTGTGTGGGAGCCACATTGGGCAGGCACAACACAGCTGTGTTCTCAGCCTTAGCTCCAGGCCTCAAGTCCAGAGGCCCAGAAAAATCCCTCAGGCGGCAGCCCAGACCGACACACTCTGTCTAGGTGACCTGGGGCTCTAGCCTCTCGCTCTCTCAGGGTACACAAAACACATTCAGTCATAGACACATGGAAACAAACAAAAAAAAATCAAAAACAAAATACAGAAGCCCAGATAAACTCAATTCTATCCCAACACCATGGAAAGGCTCTCAAACTATTAAAAATAGGCAGATAGGAACACAGAGCAAATGCAAATTAAGAATCCAGAAACCTCCGTGCAAACAGACCCCTAACTAAATACAGTGCTGTACGTGTATAAACTCCAGGCAGATGTGGGCATTTATTTCTCCGGGATTAAAAAAAAAACTTAATGTACTGTTGTAGATAGATTTTTTTTAACCCCTTCCTATTAATGCCCTTCTAGGGATAGTCTTTAAGTCGCAGGGAAATACAACACTATAGTTAGATAAATTACCAAACTAACAGTGCTGCAAATGGATTTTGAAAAAAAATCCCGGAGAAACGCGCCATTTTGGATTGACTTTTAAAAATCTCCAAGAATAATGCTGCATGTGGATGTTTTAAATTCCAGAGAAATACGCCTCGCGCAGTGATTCTTTCTATATCGAAAAACACAGTTAAAAAATTCAATGTATCCTCACGGATTTGGTTTTAAAAAGGAATCGCTCGCTGTACATTTCTCCAGATTTTAAAAAGTAAAAACCAACCAAAGGCCACGCTTCAAACTTTTGAAAACAAAAGTCCAGTCCAGCGCGGATTGCTTTTTTTAGCCAAGCAAACAGAACCTCTCAGAGAAAGTCACTTAGAGATGCAAAACAGAAACAAATAGAGATTAAAAACGCGTAGAGAAACACTCAGCGGTGGATTAAGAAAAAAGCACAGCGGAGGCGCCCACGACCCGGGGAACGGGGCGCCCGGCGGGACGGAGCGCGGGATCCGAGCGGGAGACCCGGGGCCCGCGAGCGGCCGAGGATCAGCCGCGCCACCGCCCGCACCGCCCACCCGCCGGCCCCGCTCGCCGCCAGCTTGCGGGGGAGAAGCCCGAGTTCGGGGGGCAAAACGGCAGCGCGGAGGGAGACGCGCCCCAGCCGAGCCGGGGCCCTGGCCGGGCGGCCTGGCGGCTCCCGGGTCCCGCGGCGCAAGTGGGGCCGGGCTCCCTCCACGAGGGGGGCCTGCCCGCCAGCGGAGCCGCACCTCTTGGCCCGCTCGCCCTCGCTGCCCTCTTTTTTTTACTTGAGGTGGTCCCCCCTTCCCCGCAGTCTGTTTTTCTGACTTTTCCCGCCACCCCTTCTCTTGGATTTCTCCCTCTCCATCCGTCGCCCACCGCCCGTCGGGGTGCGTGACCCCGGCTCCCTGGGCAGCGTCTCTCGCCCGCCGCCCCGTTCCTCTCTGCATCTACGGTCCTGCGGTCTGAGCGGCCCCCTGGGCACTCGCTGCGCAAACCGAATTTTTTCCTTCCTGTTCCGCCTGCTCCGGATCAAGAGGGGCTGTCGGGCCGACCCCCCCCCGTGGTCGGCGCCTGCATCTGCCGGTGTCTGGGCGCGTGGGCACCGGCTGGGAGCAGGGCACGGAGTTCCGTCTTATCAAGCGCGCAGATTTCCGCGTTCCCGGGCCGCGGAGGACGGGAGAAGAAGAGGTCCCGGAGCTCGCGGGGCTCGGGGGACCGAGCGTGCGGCGCGGGCGCCAGGCCCCGCTCCCCGCCCCGCTCCGTGCCGAGCCGCGCTTACCTGGCAGCTCCGTGTCGGACGACTCGCTGGCGGAGTTCTCGAGCGGCTCGCGGGGGTCGGCGGCGCGGGCCAGGTGGAAGGCCGGCCCCATGTCGTGCGGCGGCGGCGGCGGCCGCAGCCCCTCCGGCAGCCGCTCCAGGCTCATGCCCCCCTTGAAGGCGTCCATGGAGGCGGGGACCGCGGCGGGCGCTCCCGGGGCCGGGGCCGGGGCCGGGGCCGGGGCCGGGGCCGGGCGCGCCCGGCCGCCCTGGCTGCGACCTGCGGGGACAAGAGCACAGCGCCTAAGCGGCTGCCCCCCAGGGCTGCCCGGGCCCGCAGCGACGCCGCGCCCGCCCCATGGACCGCCCGGGGCTGCGGGGCCGGGCGGGCGGCGGCGGCAGCGGTTTCTCGCGAGCGGGTCCCCGGCTTCGCGCTCCGCGCTGCGCTCCCGCCGCTCGGGCCTCTGCCGCCCGCCCGGCCCCGGCTCCGGCTCCCGATCCGGGGCCGGTTTCTAAGGCTCCGTACGGCGCCGGCAGAGGCTGTCTTAAAGCGACAGCGCGCACCGCCAGGTTCCAGCAGTCCCTGCGCCAGGGGTGGTGGGTGGGGTGGGCCCGGGTGGGAGGGGGCTGGGGCGGGAGGGAGGGAGCCGGCGAGCGAGGGAGCGCGGGCGGAATCCGGCCCCGAGCCGCCCGCCCTCCCCCGGCCGTGCCCTCCCCCTCCCCCTCCCGCCCCCTCCCCGTCCCCCTCCCCGTCCCCCTCCCCCGCCGCAGCCACCTTCCCGCCGCCTCCCCGCCCCCTCCCCCCACCCCCCGCGGCCTCGCCGCGCCGCTCCCTCCTTCCCGTTGACACACCGACTTCTCCCTCGGCCGCACAAAAGAAACGCATCTGGTCTCCGAGTCCCGCGCGGCTCTTGCCCACCTCCAGCCCCAGATGACTTGTTTTGCGCAGAATCAACTCCTGTCTGGGCCGCCTCGAAGTCCTCAGCCCCCGGCGAGAACAGCCCGGGACGAGAGAATGTTCCCGGGGCAGGATCGCACGGAGCCGGCGCCTCCGAGCCAGCGCCAGGGCGGGGGCAGAGCCCGGGGCCCGTTCCGGCAGCTCCCGGCGGCGTCCCCGTCGAGGGGCCGCTGGCCCCTCCTTCCTCGGCCTCTTCTCCCGGGACCTGAGCCCGGCTGAGTGACAGCAGCCTGCGTTCTAATGGGCCCCCGATGCTGCCTCCTAATTAGCTTGGACCCTGTCGTCCAAGGCTGCTTCTCTGGCCTCCCCCTCTGCACCGCAGTCAATTTTCCGGGATTGGGATTGAACTGATGGCTTCTAATCAGACGAAACGTTTCTGTTGGCTCCAGGCCTCTGGCGAGTGCAGCAGGAGACCCCGAGAGCCCCGCCAGGCCCCACAGCCTCTTCTGCAGGGCTCTCTTCCCTTGTTTTGCACCAGTCCAGCAGAATCAGCCAGGCCCCGGCCTTGGCAGCCAGGGGGTTGGCTTCTGCCCCCTTCAGGGCAGGTTTGTAGCGATCTGGGGCCTCCTCTGGGCTTTCCAGAGCTGCAGGCACCTGGCCTCGCGAGCAGGCCAGGTGCCTGCAGTTTCCCAGCCCGGAGTCCGCAGTCCAGGAAGCCTACCGCCTTTGAGCTTCTCTCTCTCATACAGCAGTAGCTGAGCGGCAGCACCGCCGAGGCCTCCTGGGGGGCAGACACCGCGGGGGGGCCCCTCCCCACCTCTGAGAATGATCCCCTTCTGGAGTCCTCCTATGACAGTGAAGTTTGTTGAAGGATTTTGCCGAACAATTGTTAACCAGCCCCGAGCCCTCAGAGTCTTGAATAAATAGACGGCAGCTAGGGTGGTAGGGTGCGACCCTGACCCGTGCCTCTGGCCACAGCTAGACCCCAGGCTGCCCTCCTCCCCTCAATTGCTGACCAACTCCCCCAGATGGGAGTAGCGCTGGGCAGGACAGTAACCCGGAGGAGAAGCACTGCTCTACTCTCCAGGTGCAGTGCCTCACCACAGGGCCCAGTGCATCCCCATCTGTTCCTGGGGCAGAGGGAGTGTCTCTGCTTGGGGGTGAGGATCTGGGGTGTTCTTCAGATACTGCCTTCTAGCCCTCACCCTGGCTCATCAGGAGACCCAGAGCCTCAGGCTGAGTTACTTGGTGTGGATGTGGGGGAAGGTGTGCAGGGTGGCAACAGGCCCGCCTCTCACCCCTCCGCGTTAGCCTGAGACCCCCCCCAGCTCTGGGTCCTGGGAGAAAGCAGAGCTCCTTAGGGGTGGCACACTCTCTCTGGGTGCCTCTGACTGTATGGTCAGGGTCTGGGTCTGAGGCCAGAGGATGTATCTTAGGGGTTTGGGTTAGGGAGGCTCAGCAACTCCAGCCCTTTCCTTTCCTCCCAGAGGGGGAATTTCTCTGCGTGGAGACCCCCCCCCATGAAGGTAATCTTAGATGTGTGTTGGGGGGAGGGTGGCAGGAGGGGGACATGGGAAGTAGGGTTGCCCAGCATTTGCCCTCAACCTCATCTTTTACCATATTTCTTGGTTGAGTCTCTTGCTGCAGCAGGTAACTCTTTTCAAGGACAGTGTGTGACCCAGCCTGTCTGGGCACAGACAGGACCCAGGAGCATGCATAGACACATATGTAGTACCTACCCACATAGGTGTGCTGCATACACAGATGCACCCGTATTCACTACACCCACCCATGGGGTGTTGGGTATAGTCACATAAGTGCACACACGGCTGACCTCTGGGTTCCAGAACACTGCTCAGCGCAAAATCGGGCTGGTAGGGTACAGGAGGGCACGTCCTAAGTCTGCCAAGTGTCAGGCCAGTGTGGGAAGCACAGTACCCTCCTGGGTGGGGACATGGAATCAATGGTGTGCCTATGGGCGTTCGGAGGCTGAGTCCCAGCCTTTCGCTGTCCACAGGGTGTAAGAGTCAGATCTTCCACAGATGGAGACTGTTCTGTGACTCTGCAGCTCTCTACCTGTCCCCTCTGAGGGGTTTGCCTCCCTCACTGTTGATGCATTTCATGCAGTTATTGAGCACCTGCTGTGTGCTCCTCTGGACCCGAGCCTCTGGCAGTGTTCTAGGCAGTTGCAATGGTCCCTCTATTTGGAAATCTTGATGCCTGCTGTGTGGATATGGAAAGGCCCTTAGACTACTGTGGGTGAAGCTCCGTGTCCCCGGGCCCGGAGCCCCACAGAGCGACTGAGACTAGTAGGGACAGCCCAGGGCAGTCTGTTCTGCTGGGCTCGGGCAGTGCTGAATGAGCAAGGGGTGAGGAAGGGATTGACGGAGAGGATGCCCTGGCCTGCTAGAGTGCTGGCTGGAGAAGGGCCCTGGGCACTTTGTCCTCTTCCTCAACCTCACCCTCTGCTAGGCACTATCCCAGGCAGGGAAGGGGCTTCATGCAGACTCACAGACATAGGTCACACACACAGGACAGGAGGCAGCTCCCTTTCAGAAATAAAAGCAGGGGTTCATTGTTCTCCCAGCTTTGCTGTGTGACCTTGGGCAAGGCCTGGCCTGCCGTGTGCCCCCGTTTCCATGTCTGACCTGGGACTCAGCAGTTCCTACCAGCTCACTTGGCGATGGGGATAGGAGGAGAGGAGGGAAGGGGGCTTACTGGAGACGGAACCATGTGCCCTATTCCCCATCCCTCCAGGCCACGCAGAGCTAGCAATGATTCTATGACTTTCAGGAAATTTGGAGGCTTAGAGTCCTAGCTGGGTTGAGCAGAGGAGCCTGGCCTGTTGTGGGGCTTGAAGTAGTCACCATAGGGACCTTTCCTGAGGCCAGGCTCACTCAAAACAGATTCTGTACCCAAGAATGGTTTAGCAATTTTACTTGGGAAGAGTAGTTGGAGGATCTCCCTGGAAGACATCCTTCCACCCACCTTTCGGGGGTACCCTGCCCTAATCTTTGCACTAGAATCAAGGGATTTTAGGAAAAGGAAGGAATGTGCTGTGGCTTGCCCTCGAGGCCATCCATGACTCTCTGGGACATTCCAACCCTAAGCCTCTTAGGCCGTGGAGAAGTTCAAACTAGAAAACCCAGTTTTGGGAGTGCATCTGGGACCACCTACCTCCTTCAGTCTGGTCTACACCCCCCCCTCCAATAAAAGCTCTTGTTTCTTTGAATACAAGCAATTACTGGGTGAGGGGGAAAAGGGGTGCTCAGGTAGGGGCTAGGAACCATCTCTCTGGATTCTCTAGGCTTCCAAAGTCCCTAGCCCGAGCCTTCCTGTTCTCTGGGGTTCCCCCAGCCTCTCCTGGTGTGGAGACCTGGGATGCACTCAGGCAGGATGGCTGAATGCGGTGCCCGCAGGAGCATGGAACTTAGAACTCTGTCAGCAGCTGGCAGGGCTGGCCTCATGGCTCACCCGCGTCCACTCACTGGTCGTTCTCTGGTACCTGAGAATGGCTGAGCGGAGGGGCAGAGAAGCCTGGGCAAGTGGCAGAGGCTGGCGGGGGAACTTACAGCTTATGCTGTTACCACAGCCTCCTCTTCCCAGGAGCTGCTTTCCTGAGAGAAGGGCACTCTGAGCCTGGCTGGATAAGCAACAAATGCTGCCTCTGCACCCTGGAGTCCTGGCAGCCTGGTCTCCATGCCCCCATCCACCTCTTTTCCTTTTCCAGCAGAGATGAAGAGCTCAAGCAGTATGAGGTTAGGGGAGGGAGCCGCCAGGTCCCCCTTGCCCGCTGCCTCTGCTGCCTGTAGCTTTAGCCAGTACCCTAGACCTGCCGTCTTTGGCCAAGTGGACAGCAACCTGGGATTGCCTTCCTCCGGCCCCATGGCTGTCAGAGGCCACTGGGATGCCAATAGAATACGCAAGCCTTAGTTTCTCAGAAAAGCGTGCTCAAATATTTTTAGATTCAAGGGATTCCTAAATCAGAAAACCCTGGAACCAGGATTCCAGCCCTGGGTTCCCATTTCTGCGATCCTGGCCCCAGGGCCCGCGCTTGACGGCCGCCGAGGCGGCTCCGGTTTAGGAGGCTGGTCAATCCCAGACTTCCAAGACCCGGTTCTAGAGAAGCGGCTGTGTGCTCGGGAGCCCCGCGTCAGCAACCGTACCCCGGAGAAGCCGCGGGAATGTCTTTATTGGATGTTTGCGAAGAGCATTTGGGGTTTCTGTCTGGGTAAGGCAAAGCCCGACCCTCGCGGGCGAGGGCAGGCCGCCGTGGGCTGGGGGCGCCTCGGAGCACGGCGGC